CCCGATATGTTACATAATAAATACACCAGAAGCAGTCTGGAAGTTTCCTAATTACTTGGGAAAGCTCCCCCAAAACTTGCGATCTTCTAAAAATAAAGTATTTAAACGTATCCTGTTTTCTTTAGCTATTTCCAGTAACACAGACTGAGTCCTGACCATGTGTACATAACTGCATCAGGTCTATGGATAAGAAGTATTAAATGTGGTCCCTACTCTCAAAGAGTATAGGGGGTGCAGGCATACAGAAATAAACCCATGCATTACACACTGCCTTTACTCCTCTGGATCAGAGATTCTATTTAGACAACACCTCTAGCTGCCTTTAAAACCTTGAAAAACACAGAAGAATACATGTAACATATTGTAAGCTATGTAATAAAATGAGTACCCATGGGATGAAATGTTAACAACAGTTGAATCTGGGCAAAGGACATATAGGTGTTCCTGGTACTTTTTTGTATTGTTTGTATTTTTGCGACTTTTCTGTAAATCTAAAATTTTTCCAAAATAAAGTTTACTTAAAAAAAGAAAAACTCTTCAAGATGTAAGTGAAAAGGGCAAAGTGCAATGGTTATTGTTACGAAGGCACAACATGTAACTGGCATCCCAGAAAAATCCAGGGCGGACATTATTTCTTCAGCCTGTACTTTCTACCACAATGTCTGTAAGAAACTGCTCACCTATTTTACCCAGTCCCTGCACTCAAGATTAACTTAGAAACAGCCAACAAAAGAAATTATTACTAGGAAAAGAATTCTGTGTAAACAACAGCCCATAACCAATAACATGGTCAGCTGGGGGAAATGTTTAAAGCAAAGATTAGACTAGTGACAATATTCATGAATAGAGATTGCAATTTTTTTAAAACCCAATAATAAATGAGCAATGAGATACTTCAGGCATTTAAGAAAAAAATCTGACTATTGACTCTACTTCCAAATAGACAATCAGAAACTGACAATCAGAGAACTGGAAGAGAACATATAAAATAACAGTTCCCGGCCTGGCCAGCAGGAAGCACAGGGCTAATCTCTGAGCAAACAAACGGGCCATTTACTGCCGGGGGCGGATTCCGAGCTGGCACAGGAGTGAGGGTCCCGGGGTCTGGCTGAGCGGGGGAGACAGTCTCTGGAAGCTGCAGGCAGAGCCCCAGAGGTGTAATTAACAAATCAACAATGGAGAGAAATGAAACCAAAAAATCTTAATTCAAAAGAAAGAAGAAAAGGAGGGGGAGAAAGGAGTAACGACTAGATGGGACAAATAACACTAAGATGGTAGATGTAAACCCAACCAACTTTAGAATCACATCAAATATAAATGCCTGAACGCTTTAATTAAAAGGCAGAGATTATAAGACTGGTTAAAAAATATCAAGACTTAACTCCATATTATCTACCAAATACCCATTTTAAATATAAAGACCTAGGTTAAATACAAAAGACTGGAAAAAGATATCTATAATAATAAAAGCGCAATATGCAAATCGACCGAACAGCAAAGCAACCATCTGGACAGCCACGCTATGACACGCACTGTCGCCAGGCCAGCCAAGGTGGGTGCAATGCGACTGGTCAGGGGGCCACCATCACCCCATGATCGCCCTGCAGAGGGAGGCCCAGGCCATCCTCTGCAGAGCGATTGATGCGGGGGGAGGGGGGTGGGGGGGTTGCCCCCACGATTGATCAGCCTGCAGAGGGGGGCCCAGGAGATCGATGGGGGAGGGGGGCTCCATGATTGCCCCAAAGAGGGGCAATAAACAGTTTAGATTAGGTCCGCTACTGAGAACACAGTATTTCAGGCTGGAACCCTGAGTCATCACCAGAAATCCATGGGGCTACAGCAGCTGCAGGCACTGCTGACCACACTGCCCGTGGAAGGCAGTGCCCAGCCTCCCTGAGAGCCTGGCAAGGCCCCTGAGGAGCACGCGCCGTGCGGCTAGCACAGCACGGCCTCGGGACTCCGCACCCGCCTGTCAGGTTGCAGTCATTACACATTGGCCTCAATGGGGCCCATTCCTATTGGAAAGGGTACAGAGAACACATCTTCAGAAACGTGAGTGTCCAGGAGCGTACATACAGAGTGAAACCAAAGGTCTGCATCCAAATGCACTACTGGTCAGGTACCAATCCCAAGCACGTAGCCCGAGTCCAGGAAGCACTACCCTTCACAAGAAGCTGAATGACGGGAATCAAATGATGAGATGCCATAGCGAGAAGTAGAGTCACATCCCTAGGCTTCCCGGGACCTGCTTTGAGGAAACTTGGAAATGGGCAAAGGTTTAATTTTCTTTTCATAGACTTTTAAAATGAAACTCTGCTTCCAGAAATGATACATTTTTCTCCTCCAAGCAGCTTGGTTACCCCCTGTATCCCCACCTTAGAGAAAAAGCTTTTCCAGCCGCGATATGCCTGCATTTTGAATCTATTATCGCCAATAATCCTCATTAGCACCCTGATGAAGCAGAGGTCTGTTTATTCTCAACTCACATTTCTTGTTAGGACAGTTTCCTTATTGGAAAAATGAGAAAAGTAAACTAAATACTCTCTACGTTTCCCCCGGCCTTCATACTCCATGGCTGTACTGAAAGTGCTGGGGTCCACCCTGAGAAGCTGAACATTGTTAAAGACAACTAAGTAATAACTTTAGGCACCAGAAAAGAGTACAAATCACCTCAACCAAGCAAATTATCAACGTACTCAACTGAACGGTGAATGGCTCTGAGAAATCAGGTTAAACCCCAGGCAATTAGGATGTAAGATAAAGAACATACTAGGGATTTAGAGGAGAGAGAGAAGGGGAGAGGGACGAAGAGGGGGAGGGAGCCAGAGGAAAGACAGAATTTCTTATTAACCAAAACTAAGCTGGTAATTAACACAGAAAGGATAACTCGGTTCCCTTGGTTCCTCTAGGAAAGTGGAATAAATGGACAGACACACACCTGGAGTCACTGAGCCAGGCGTCTGTTCCTCCGAGCAGAGCGTTTAAACAGGGCTCAGATGGCTGGCCATGGACAATTTCTGGCGGCTAGGTTTAAAATTACTAATCAGTGCGTTATACAGACTTTAAAACCAATTCTTCTAAGAAAAGCTTCAACGCGACAGTTTCAGGGCAGCATCAGCAGTGCCCACACTTCTGTGGCCTTGACACGGATGCCGTTAGAAAAGGTGAAAACCCAACTGACCTTGAGTCCGGCTAGTTCCGAAACTCAGGGCCGGTGCTACGCTCTTCCCAGACGTGAGAGGCCTCCTGAGGGTCAGGTGCACCTTATACCCGGGCCTTCCTCCCCGACTCCAGCCACGTTCCACCATGTCGCTGACAAGCAGCTGGGGCCTGGAGTGCCGCCTGCAAGAGCGGACGGGTCCTCTGTCCCCAGTCCTTTAAGTCAGAGACCGCAGCCCTGCCCAGGCGAGAGGTAGACTAGCCGCCTTCCATAAGGTGCACCCTTCCGCAGGCTGCTCCAGCCAGCCACCTGTGCCTCCTGCAGACGCAGGTATGCATCTCCCCCCCACACACACCCCGTCCCTACTAACCAGCCCCCTCCGGCTGGCTCCTCCGCCCCCCGCTTTCTGTCCTGGCTGCCATCGCTGCCACAGGCCCGCCTCTTGGTTTCAGTAACCAGTTTGGAGCCCCCTTTTGGCCCCAACAGCCTCCTCCCATTCCTGCCCGTTGCTCCCTGCTCCGTCTCATTGCTTGGTATGGTCCCTCATTTCTGTCTCCTTCCACACTAGGGCTGCCTGAGCCATGCCAGACTACGCTCAGAGTGAGAACACCAGGCAAGTACCTAGGATCTCTGTCTGTGTCTGTAACACAGGGGTGACAATACTACTACGTACTTCAGAGGGTTGGTATGAATAACAAATGAGCTCACAAAGTCTTTGAAACAGGCCTGGCACGTAACAAGCATTCCCACTACTAATGTATATTTTGTTTTTCCAGGTCAAGAGGGGCTGCCGCTATAGCCTCCTTCCTCGCGCTTCCCACAGGTGGGCCAGGGAGAGCCCTGGGCACTGCCTCTCTCTCCTGCGTCGAAGGGAACAGGACCATCCCTGGGAGCCCACCTCCCAGCCAGCGCTGCGGCCCCGTCACCGGAGCTGCTTCGCTCACGTTGTCCTGAGGGTAGAGCCACCTGGTTTACAAATCTAAGGTTCTCAACATCACAAACTCAGGAACAAATCTAATGTTCTCTAAACCACTCACAGTGGCCAATGTTCCAGTCCGATGCAGAATGCTGCTGGTATTTAACCACCTCAGGTGTAAAATGTTCAGCACCTTCAACCTTCTGTATGGCGTCTCCATTTCCTGCTGGCTCAGTGCTTCAACAGCACGTGCCAGTTATATTTTCACAGCACCTACGTGAGAGTTCTGGAGAACTCGAGTGAGGAGGAGGCAGAACAGCAGGCAACGGAGCAAAAGATGATGCACTGAGCATAAGGCCTGAGTACAAAAGTTCCCAGTCTGGGACCACCAACCGCATGACCCGGGCAAAACACTCCAGCTTCCTGAGGTGTCTGCTCGTACGCAAACGGGGTCAAGTGAAATAATTACCAGACCAGGTTTATAAGGGTCACAAATGTCTCTCAAGTTAAACTGCAAACACGGACGGTGGTGAAGATCAGGAAGGCCTATCAGTGGGCAAATGGAAGACACTGCTGAATTTTAATAATGTTTAGTAAACGGAAAGCCTTCTGACGATGGAAGAGGGAAGATAACCTTTGAGTAGTATAAACAGTGATAAAGACTCATAATTAAAGGACAGACGCCCTTCCACAGGGGACATCGGAGAACAGATCCAGGACTCATGCGAGCAAAGGACTTACAATACTGCCTCTTGAAACAAGATAATAACTTTCTCCAAAGCAACATAGTTTACAAATAATAACAAAAAACACCTGTTAGGAAATTTGAAATTACTTAACGGTTTCTATATTGAACTTTTAAAGTTGTATACTATTCTTGTGTCTTATTCGTGATCACAGAGTTAAAAAAAGAAAATAGCTTACCTCTATAGCAAAGATTCCTTTGTCACGCCCATACAATTTCATCTCTTCTGGAAAACGCTCAAAAGCATTTACATAAGGAATATGGCCCTCTTCAACAAAGCTGTTTTTAAAAAGAAAGAGTTTCAATAAGAGATATGTACTGATTTAGCAAAATAATCAAAAGAGTTGAAAATGCTGTGTTTCAAAGACAAGGTCCCAGGAAACACTATCTCTATTTATGATTTTATTACATTTTTCAAAAGTCTCCATTGGTGCCAGACTAGAAATTTAACAAACGGGTTCTTCATCGCAGATGATGTGAGAGGCACTGCATTAGAGCTGAGCACATTTACCTGCAAAACCTCTCCTGCACCCACTCGCCTGGTTCCACTTCTATCCCCACCACCCAGGCCCAGCCCCACGCCTTCCTGAAGCGTAGCCGTGTCCACGGCCCCCCGCCCCTTCCTGGGGCCCACCTTCCCGCTGCCCGAGTGACCGGGTCTGCCTCCCCTGCTCATCTCCCAGGGCCTCACTGTCTCACTCCTACTGAGCATGCGTGTCCCTTGCTGTGGAAACAGACAGAGATGGCTGCACGGCCTTGTAAATGCGCTAAAAACCACTGACGGGCATTGAAAAGGGTGAGTTTTATTGGATATGAATTATATCTCAGTTAAAAGCATCCCACCCCCTAACTAGGCTAACGAAGACCTGTATCTGACCTCTGCTTACTAGGCCCCTGGCCCCACCCTCCGACTCCTCCAGATTCGCTCACTCCGTCCACTGGCCCCCCCCTCCTCGACCACACGGAGCTCTGGGGCTGGGCACCGACCTCCCTCTGCCCGAGCGCCAGTACGTCTGAGAGCCGCCTCCGGCTCTATTTCACTGAAAGTGCGGCTTAAGCCCCACTTCACAGTGAGGCCTCCCTGTCGACCAGTCCCAGCAGCCGGCTAGTCACTGTCAGGAGAGGGAGGAGGAAGGGAGAGGGAGGAGGGAGGAGGAGGAGAAGGAGGAGGAGGAAGGGAGAGGGAGGTCGCCCAGCTCCCGTCTCCTGCAAGCACTTCGCTCGGGGTCAGCTTTTACACAGTCAGGTCCTTGCTCATCTGCTCCCACCTCGAGCCTGGGGCTTGGTGAGAGCAGGGACTCATCTACATGGCATCTCAAGAGTAACCCCTGCATGTAATCAATATTCAGTGAGCACCTGTGGGCGGAACAGGGTTGGCTATCTTCACTTATTCCTGTCGTTGCTGGGCGGGCAGGGTCCCCTGAGGGCTACTGGAAGGGTGATGAGCTCATCCCGAGGACCAGAGGATTTAACGGGAGTGACGCGTAGGGTCAGTGAGAGGTGCAGGGGCTGTAGCCAGGCTCGCCGTGTGTTCTCTTCAGAGCAGTGTCCTTTAGCTGGCTGCTCACAGTCTGGCAGTAGCTCTCAGTTTAGCATCGACAGGAGTCTCTTGGGGGCTTAGGAAAGCAGAGCTCACAGGCCCACCCAGGCGGCTGGGTCAGAAGGTGAGAATGGGCCCAAGGCCCTGCGTCTCTCGGGTGCCAGGGGACACACTTGGAGAGCCTGAGGAAAGCGGAGAAGGAGGACACGCTCTTCTCCTTTATTCCCAGCAGCGGAGCTCGGTCCCCAGACCTGTGTGAGCAGAGAGAGGCCTCCAGCCGCAGACCACCTCCTGCGGGCCTGCCAGCTCCCTGGGAGGAAGGAGAGACCAAGGGAGGAGGGGGGGAGAGGGAGGAGGAAGGGAGAGGGAGGAGGAAGGGAGAGGGAAGAGGAAGGAAGAGGGAGGAGGGAGGGAGGAGGAGGAGGAAAGGGAGAGGGAGGAGGGAGGGAGAGGGAAGAAGGGAGAGGGAGGAGGAAAGGGAGGAGGAAGGGAGAGGGAGGAGGAAGGGAGAGGGAAGAGGAAGGAAGAAGCGAGAAGGAGCAGGAAGGGAGAGGGAAGAGGGAGGGAGGAGGAGGAGGAAAGGGAGAGGGAGGATGGAGGGAGCCGGGAGAGAGAAAGAGACGAAGGTGCAGGATTTCACCCTCGATCTCCCAACCACATATAACCTCCCCAAGAAGCACTTCAGGTAGATATTTCTCTCTGTCTCGTTAGATTTCCAGGCGGGTTCTGCTAGCCTCTCCAGCCGCCCTGGGAGGGTGGGGAGCCTGTGCCAGCATCCGCAGGTGATGAGACCACCACCGCTGTTCCTGTAAGGTCCCTCTGGTTAGGGAGGACGCGGAGAGAGGGCACAAGACTGCAGCCACAGGGCTCACCTGGGAGGTTGCTAAGCAACCCAGGTAAAGACAGACAGGGGATGGGGAGAAAGGAAAGTGGTTTCGAGAGTTACTCTGCAAGTTTGGCTGACGGGATGTGTGTGCCTAGAGAGGGAAGAGCCGAGGCTGATTCCTAGGCTGCTGGATCGGATGCCAGAGGCGTGGCGTTTGGAAGACGGAAAACGCTGGATGGAGAAGGAGCTGGGCTGAGGGGAAAGACGAGGAGCCTCATTGGGTCATGCTGATCCTGAGATACCACGAAGACAGCCCAGGAGTGGCGGTCCCGCGGCCTCCTGTGATACATGCGGCCCGGCCCTCAGTGAACAAGTCTGGGCTGGAGATACAGACCCGGCGTCATCACCACAGAGGCGGTAATTAGGGCCCTGGGAGAAGATGAGGTCACCCCAGGGGGCAGACAGAGCAAGACAGGGTTTCAACTTCACAGTAAAGTTCCTGAGTCATGGACGATCTGCATGCGGTGAATCACCCTGAGAAAAGCCTTGTTATCTGGTTGATGTGGCCAAATTCAAAGGTACTAGCATCATTCATTGGAGGCGTTTTATTTAATCAAAGGGCCTAGTGCCAAGAACGATGGTGGTGGCAAAGGAGGAGGAGAAGGACAGAAGGAGGAGAGAAAAGGAAGATGACAAAGCCACGATAACAGCACTGCTCTCCCTGTGTCAGGCCTGGTCTAAGTGCTCTGCGTGTGCAAAGTACTGAAGCAGCTGCAACCCTAACCCTACGAGGTAAGTAGTGTTATTCCTGCTTTACAACAAGAAGACAGAGGCAGAGGAAAGTGAAAATGAAATTTACTCAAGGCCACATAACATATAGCAGAACCCAGGAGTGTGGTCTAAATCCATGCTCTTACCCCACTCCACACGCCGACTACACCCACGTTATGAGAACACACGAGCAAGGGGAGCAGGAACACATGGATGGGGCCCGTCGTGGCTGTGATGAGAGATCCTCAGCACATGCCCTAATTTACTCATTAGCCAGAAAGCCCTGAAGATTATCTTGGACAATGTAAATGCCAGCTATCTGCATAACAGGTTCTTCCAACAGCTGTGTTTCAATTTCACATATAAACGCAGGCAGCCTATGTTTAGCTCTTGTGTAACGCCATTAATAACCATTTGCCACTGTAAAGTCATCTGTTCATCTCCTTCCTTAGAAACAACACCACTAATACTACCGCCTGAGTGTCACTTTTCTTCTTCAGAGCGGCTTACTCACAGAGGGTCAGTCACTCCCCACGCCTACGCCGGGCAGGTACTATTATTCCCACTTTATGAATAAGGAGCCAGGAAGGGGGAGTTACTGGCCCAGGGAGGACTGAGTTACAGAACTGGAACCCAGTTGCCCAGTCTTTCCAGTCCCTTCCTCAATGCAAGCCTCGTAAGTCACACTGTCCACACTGTCCCTGGTCCGCACAGGAGACCACACGCTCCAAGGCCGCTTACCGCAGGAGGTCGGAGAGGGCGAGTGCCTCCCGCTGCCACAGCAACGACAGGCCGCAGAGAGCGAGGGTCGTGGGCATGGCCATCTTCACGAGTCCCTTCTCCTTGCGCAGAGAGTACTCGACTCCATCAAGAGACCCGGAGCAGATGGAGGCCATTTCTTAGGGGACAAAAGGAGGAAAATAGTAAAATCCAAAGAGGCATTTAAATCTGTGGTTCTCAAAGCATCGTCCCTGGACCAGCTGTACTGGGGCCGCCTGAGCCCCGAGGAGCTGCACCAACCTGTCCAACAAGCCTGCAGGGGCCTGAGGATGCCACAGATGGAGGATGACTCCTTTACAAGACACACGAGGCCACAGATCCCATAAAATACGTGAGACACTATGATCTGCACATGTGACAAGTCGCAGGCGCTTCCCGTTAAGACGGCAGGTTGGAAACCTGCTGTTTAGCGTCTGCTGTCTCACTAAGCTAAACAACGATAAAAGCCATTTTAAAACGGTCACCCAAGAACAAAAACGGTGGAAAGGAGAGAAGAGCAGCACAGTGTGGAAGCTGGAAAGCATTGGACAGGCGACTGGGCCTTAGCGGTCCTGAGACAGCGGGACTGGAAGCCACGGCGGGTGACTTTGCCCTGGGGCCTCTAAAGAGGGCGAGGGATTGGTTCAACAGGGACCCCTGGCAACAGCGACGGTCGGGCTGACCCCAGGACTGCTGGAGTCTGATCAGATTCGCACCCAGCGCCACAGCCACGTGACTGCCCGCCCCAATTTTGGCCGGACATTGGAAGTTTCTCCTCTGGGACAGGGACCCTCAGCCACACTCACAGCTGAGCCGGGCATCTGATGAAAACGGGGGATAAGTGAAAGGTCACGTGTGGAGTCCTGAGACACCCCTCTCCCGGGCCCTCTTCTTCCCGCCGCTTTCCAGAACAGCCAGGATGACCCCCTCCGACCAGGAGGCGCCCAGAGCGTGCTCTGGAAACTGCGATCAGCTCCGGGGGCGGGTTCCCAGGTGGGAATGCTGGATCCGCTAAGGGAAGGACCAGTAGCTCAGCCTCTCCCCCGGGTACACTCGTGGAATTAAATCGGAAAATGAGGTACACACACATGTACCATGGGCTCATTCCGCCTGCTTTAGTCTGTGCTTAGAAAAGGGGCACGTCCTCTTTGACTCCTGTCTACCCGACGACCAGGGGCTAAGTTCTCTCATGCCCTGCAGCGGCTTTTCTGGGAAACCCTGGGCCCCCACACACGTGCGGTCTTTGCTGAGTTGGCCTCCGTCTTTCTAGACCCGCTTCCTGTCTGGCTCCCGTCCAGCATCACACAGCAGCGCCCCTGTGGAGACAGTGGCCTCCGTCTTTCTAGACCCGCTTCCTGTCTGGCTCCCGTCCAGCATCACACAGCAGCGCCCCTGTGGAGTCAGTGGCCTCCGTCTTTCTAGACCCGCTTCCTGTCTGGCTCCCTTCCAGCATCACACAGCAGCGCCCCTGTGGAGACAGTGGCCTCCGTCTTTCTAGACCCGCTTCCTGTCTGGCTCCCGTCCAGCATCACACAGCAGCGCCCCTGTGGAGACAGTGGCCTCCGTCTTTCTAGACCCGCTTCCTGTCTGGCTCCCGTCCAGCATCACACAGCAGCGCCCCTGTGGAGACAGTGGCCTCCGTCTTTCTAGACCCGCTTCCTGTCCGGCTCCCGTCCAGCATCACACAGCAGCGCCCCTGTGGAGACAGTGGCCTCCGAGAGCGGCACTGAGACCTCGCTCCTTGGCCTTTTGCTCAGCGTGGGCTCTGCCGGGCCCAGCTCCTGTCCTGGAGCGAGGAGGCTGGGCTGCGTTCCTCCCGGACGCCACAGCTCCCGCCCTGGGCAGCGAGGCTCCCCGTTACCTGAGTGGGATGCTCTGCTTGGGGGGGAAGGCTTCCGGGGGCCGTCACTTTCAACAAAAGGGCCGCTGGCGTCACTCAGCAGCGCGGGCTCGCTCTCCCAGTCCGCGTGACTCGGACTGCCCAGGACCTATCGCAAAGCAACATGAAGTTACTGCACGGAATTTTAAATTAAATTGCAATAATTCCCATGAACTTAATTCCTCACCATCACAAACCCCGGAGGCGGACCCGTCCTCACCTCTGCGTCTCCCGGAGTGTCCCTGTCCCAGGCTCTGCCCGTGACTTACCGAGGCTTTCCTCTTTCTGGCATGAACTGGGTTTTCGCAATACGCCTGCTTGCTCTTCTGCAGGTAGCGCTTCCAAAAATTATGCAGAACTTGATTCTGAGGCGGAAGGGAAGCGAGTGGGGATTTGCGGTCTGGTGACAAGTACCCAGCACATCTCACCCACAGCACCTCTGTGCTGCCCGGGCGGCGCCCTCCCTGTGCGGCTCTACTTCCCTCACCAGCAGCCGGACCAAGCACTGACTGCGGGCAGGCGCCCCGAGGCCTCAGATGCTGGGTTTCTAGTTCCTACAGTGACCTCTGCCAGCACAGGCCAGCGCCTCTTCGCCACACCTGGTCTAGTCACCTGAGCGGCTGCCCCACCAGCAAAGCCCCCTCCACATCTCTGCTTGGCAATTCGGTCCCTGTCTTCCTCCCTCCTCCTTCTGCCCTTCGTGTCACTTGTGAGCACCCGGGATCGGACTGTTCACCGCTCCCCTCTCTCCAGCTAGGCTTCCCGTGATGGGCATGAAGCAGGTGTACAGTAACCACGGTGCTCAGTGACTGGCTTTTATAGAATTTCTGAAAAGGCTTCAACTAGATGGGGAAATACGAAATTCAAATAATAGAAAAGTCCCTCTTGAGAGGCGGCAAGGTCAAAAGATGGTCCCTGGACCTGCCCTATCAGTTCACGTGGGAACTTGCTAGAAGACCAATCCTTGGGCCACTCCACACCTCCTGCCCCAGCAGCTCTGGACGGGTCAGCAGCCTGTGCTTTCACAGGCCCTCCCGGCTCCTGACACAAACCCACGTGGAGAACCGCTGGCTAATGCCTCGCTCCCCAGGGAGCATCTGGAACTCAAATCCTGCTGGAGGCCACCCACCCGGCTTCTGTCTCAAACCCCGAGCACAGCCCACGCCGTCCCCAGGTCCCGGGGAAACGGAACCAGCACACGGCCACATGAAAGGCAGCCGGAAGCTTGCGAAGTTACTTGTTTTACATCGTTTAAGTCAATGTTTCCTAAGTACATGATGAGTAAACCCTTTTGTTTTCTTTTAGATGTATTGCTTCTTCACATCCTGGAGAATGTAGTGTGGGAATTGCTGGTCTAAAAAAAAGACTAAAGCAAAAACATCAGAAGAAAGATTCTCCCGCAGCCCTCCTGTTATTACTGGTTAGTTTCACTCTAAATCTTGCTGTTCTTCGAACAAGACGGAAAGCTAACATCTAGGCACACAGGGACTCACCTTTAACTCTGGGCCGACCCCCAGGGCCTTCAAGGCCTCTGCTTGCTGACACAGGACGTGCTGAAAGCCTTCGCACACGTACCAGTCCCAGCCTTTCTCTGAAAGACAGACAACGTGCCTCAGACACCGCCCTCCTGACTGACCGCTGTGCGCGCCCCAGGTGTCCCCACGTCCTCCGCGCCGGCTCCGGGCACGGCTGTTCCACACATGGCACCTGTAGTGTTTTGTATCCCCGAAGAGGTTTCCATTCTTACAGTCTCTTGTTTCCAACATGGCAGATTTGTACCCAAATGCTAACGTTAAACATTATTTTTATAATTGATGAGATTTTATGTTTCACATTATCCATAATTTTTCTGAAACAATGTAATAGGTAGACAAATGGCAGTCACCACGTTAAACAAATGAAATCAGTTTTAAGAAGCACACTGTGTGAACGATGCTCACTGAACGCTGCCTGGGGACACGCAGCGCTCCGCCCCTGGGCTTCCACTGCTCTGTTCCCAGCACCAGGACGGCAGCCGTGGGCAGGTGGGGAATCGAGGCACAGAACCAGGACGAGAGGGTCCAGGCTCCCGGAGAGGCAGTGCCGTCCCTCCACACAGTACGCGCGCATCTGCGGCTCTGAGCACGGACCCAGGTACGCGGGAGGAACTGCGAGCGAAGAAACCCCGTCTGGAGCTCTGCCAGGTGCCAGGGCGTGCCCGGTGCCGCACGTAGGTTCTTTCCTTCAGTCCTCAAACCGCCCTGAGACGGTGAGGAAATCCGCCACATGGCAGACAAGAGCGACGCGTTTAAACAGAACCACCGGCTAAGACCCTTAGGTTTCACAAATGCTGTCCTTTCCGGAAGGTGGGTTAGCAGCCTTCTCACACAGCTTCTGGAGTCGGTTACCATGACGCCAAGGTCCCCCCCCCTTGTGGGATGTCACAGGACTGCTGCTCTCCCTCACCTGTGTCACCAGGCCCTGACCCAACCTCTGGAGAGGGTCCCGGGTTGTACATGAGTGAGATGGAAAGCCTGTCTCCGCTGCACCCCAAGTGCAGGGAGGGAAGGGGAGCTCTTCAACCGGGGCCCGTGCGCTCCTCCTGCGCACTGCTCTCACCGGCACCCCGCGTCTGGGCTCCTCGTCCGAATAACAGGCGGACATAACTTCCTCTGCACCACCGCCGTTTCACAGAGGAAGGAACGAAGGTCAAAGAGGCTGAATCTAAGACCTGGCGTCTCACGGAAGCACCCGAGTTCCTGCAGCTACTTCACACACTGCGCAGCAGTTTTACTGCTGGCTCTGCCCAGTGGCCAGGTAAGTTTCTACTGAACGAGTACAAAAAACATTTTACAAAGTATCATACTTTAAAAAGATATTAGCTTGTAAGAACATGTAATCCCCGTACGGGCCACCAAAAAAAAAAAGAACATGGAATAAATAGCTTCAAGATACAATGGGTATTTAACTTTCAGGCGCGCCTTTAGCATTTATGTAAAACACTGTGTCATATGAAAACACAAGAATGCTCGTGATCCGTCGCAATGTGTTACGTTTAACTATACATTTTAACTGTTTACATAGGTCAAATCCAAATTAATCAGGCTTACCCTAATAAAATTTAATTAAAATTAATCAGGTTTCAGCCTAACAACAACAGTCACTATTAAAGGTTAATCAGGGATAGAAGCTGGCATTTAGGCACTCTCTCTGTCCCTCACACAGGGATAGAAGCTGGCATTTAGGCACTCTCTCTGTCCCTCACACAGGGATAGAAGCTGGCATTTAGGCACTCTCTCTGTCCCTCACACAGGGATAGAAGCTGGCATTTAGGCACTCTCTCTGTCCCTCACACAGGGATAGAAGCTGCCATTTAGGCACTCTCTCTGTCCCTCACACAGGGATAGAAGCTGGCATTTAGGCACTCTCTCTGTCGTTCACACAGGGATAGAAGCTGGCATTTAGGCACCCTCTCTGTCGCTCACACAGAGTTCACTCACACTTTTACACATTTATTTCAAGTGTGTGCGCCCTTGGAGCCCTCAGGTGGAAGGAGCCGTCATTAGCCGGGTTTCAAACCTGAGACTCTGTCCTATCAGTGACGGCGAACCTTTTGAGCTCGGCGTGTCAGCATTTTGAAAAGCCCTAACTTAACTCTGGTGCTGTGTCACATATATAGGAATTTTTTGATCTTTGCAACCATAGTAAAACAAAGACTTGTATTTTTTCTATTTATTTTATATATTTAAATGCCATTTAACAAAGAAAAATCAACCAAAAAAATGAGTTCACGTGTCACCTCTGACACGCGTGTCATAGGTTCGCCATCACTGTCCTAGGTCATCAGTCACAAAATGAAAAACATCAGGTAGACTCCCTCAGATTCTTCTCAAGAAGGGCAATTACATGTACTCACTGGGTTAATGAACAGATACCTTTCAAAGCACACCCATGCTGAGGCTATTTTTTAAAATATGTTTTTACTGATTTCAGAGAAGAGGAAGAGGGAGAGAGATAGAAACATCAATGATGAGAGAGAATCATTGATTGGCTGCCTCCTGCACACCCCCCACTGGGGATCGGGCCCGAAACCCAGGCATATGCCCTGAACGGGAATCAAACCCAGGACCCTTCAGTCCGCAGGCCGACGCTCTATCCACTGAGCCAAACCAGCCAGGGCCTGAGGCTATTTTAAGGGAAAATAATCTTCCCTATTTTAAAAGGGTGTGTTCAAAATTCAGTGTGAGAAATGAGTTTCTGAAAGTTGAATATCAGGTTTAACCTGCCTAACCTGACAATTCCTGCTGAATCATTTCAGAAAGTAAGCATTTTTCTTTAAAGCACAGAAAATCACATTCATGAGATGACAAATACAGAACAGAAAAGCATACGCCAACAGATAGAAAAAGATATGCACCTTTTGTCATCATTATTTTTTTGCATAATAGTTGCTCCACTGGAAAAGCAACCTGACAACAGCAGGGTAAAAAATGACATGCTGGCAGACATCTGCCTCCAATTTCACCATCAATAACCACCCACTTGCCCTAACTGGTTTGGCTCAGTGGATAGAGCGTCGGCCTGCGGACTGAAGGGTCCCAGGTTCGATTCTGGTCAAGGGCATGTGCCTGGGTTGCGGGCACATTTCCAGTGGGGGGCATGTAGGAGGCAGCTGATCGATGTTTCTCTCTCATCGATGTTTCTAACTCTCTATCCCTCTCCCTTCCTCTCTAAAAAGAAATCAATAAAAAATATTTAAAAAAAATAAATAAATAACCACCCACTTTAATTCCACGTTGGATTACCTGCTTAGAATTCTGGCAACTTCTCTAGAATCTACTTAATATTCCATTCCACATCCCCAAATCATGACGGTGAAAACCATGGCTGAAGAATGCCGGGCACACATGAGGAATGAGCTTACCAAGTTTATTTCTCTTTTTAAGCCCGCGGTTGATAGCTTGTATTTTAGTATTAGGAATCGCCTCGCTGTTTAAAACGTCCTTAGATCTCTGCAGAAACGGAAACATTATCATTAAAACCGTAGCTTTACATCTCCCGCGTTTCCAAGCTGTTCTGGAAGCACAATGAACCCAACTGTGAATGCCAGAACCAAAGATGTAACACGTGGGGGAAATTATATGAACTGGAACATTCTGATTAACCTTTTTGTTGCTTTCCATTCAAAATTACTCTCTACCTAGAACAGTGCCTGGAATATAGTAAACACTGAATAAACGTCTATCAAATGAATAAACTTTTATTTCAAATCACATTTGTGTGTGTGTGTGCATGTATGTGGGTTAACCTTTTCTTTTCTTTTTTTTAATTTATTGGTGAAAGTATTACAGATGACCCCTTTCACCCCCATGGACCCCTTCCCCAGGCCTTAACCACACTACTGTCTGTGTCCATGGGTTATGCAAAAAGCATATAAGCTCTTTGGTAAAATCACTTTCTAATTGTTTCAAATCAAACCTAAAGTCAAATATATTCATGTTTTCTGCACCAAAAACACTTTGGAATTAAAATAATTTCTGTATTTATTGTAATCAGCAATGCCTAAGCTACACATCCTAGTTTTCTGTATTTGAATAATATTCTAAAACAGCTTTATTTATAAAATTATAAAAATACTACTTTTTATAGGATTTTGGAATGACTAAATGGTGGGTACAATTCATTCCAAAGTCTTCAATTCCAAGTGCTCTCAGGGACTGGTACCTAAGATTCTGGCTTGCTCTCTGATTATAGCTCTTTCTCTCTCTCTCACATATATTAAATCTTTTTAACAATTTTATAAATGCCTTTGATTGCATATATACTTTCCCTAATGGTTACACCAATAATATTATTTACAAATGAGCCATATTTTACAAATAACACACACAAAAAAAAACCACCCTAGAATTCAGATCTTCTAACACTTGGTCCAGTGTCTGTTCACTTTTTTACTAATACTGAAATAAAAATATAGCCATTACTATATAATTTTAAGAATTTGTAATTTATTCTAAACTCTCTCCTAAAAAATATATATATATAATTGAATTACTTAATACTCTTAACATACTTACTCGTAAATAATGTAAAAATATAGAAACATGATCAAGTATATATTTTTCTTAAATAAATCTCTGACTTCAGTAGTACATGTAGACTAAGTTATTTTCTTCCATGTAATAAATACTTCATACCTTTGTTTAGTATCTTCAAATAATATGTAGGCACTTACTGCAGACATAATTTTATGTGCAAATAATATGTAGACATTCTACTCATAAATGTGATTTTCCAAAAGCATCAGCTTTTGTGTGTGTATATCCAAAACCATCACCATAATCCAAATAATGAACATACCCCCTAGCCCAACCCTTTCATCAGAGGAGCACTTACTTATCTCTTAAACACTCTGTGTGACTACATGGAAGCCGACATAGGAACTTCCGCTGCAGACATAAGAACAATGATTGTCTCAAGGAAAAGCTCTTGTGTGACTGAGTTGCAAGCTAAACCAACCACTTTTCTCAAGGGAAATTTTTTTTACTTGTTTCATATATGTTTTCCAGGTTTTTTGTTGTTTAGGGTAGGAAGGTAAACCTGGGTCCTGCTACTCCATCCTGGCCAGGAGAAGTCTACATGTTCCATTTATCTGCCCCAGATGTGCCTTTCTTACGGGGATGTGGTGGAGGTAGGATCTGCTCCTTCCTGGCTCTGTAGACTCTGAGCAAATCCTTACCCAGTGAGAAGAGACTGTCCAATAGCAGGCTGTCCACTCCCTTGATTACTGGGGTTATGTTGCCCTGAGGTGTGTAACCAGAACAGGACCCAGCCCTCCCGGGGGGAGGTGCCTCACTTATCAAGGCCATGCAGGGCAGAATGGCAGTCTCTACTGTAAGAGGCAGGCGTGATGGGGTAAAATGAACACTGGAATCAGAAGACTCAGGTTCAAGTCCTGGCTCAACACATAATACTTGTGTGACTGTGGCAAACTCACTCAAGTCATGAGGCCTGCCTGCCCTGTCTCTAGAGAGGCACAATAGCACAGCTCATAGGTGGTTATGAGGAGGCAGTTAAGGGCCGGGTAAGAAACACTGGGCAATGTGTAAGGCACTGTACAAAGATAAAATAACAACGAAGCACATTTCCAAAAGTCTTCCATCTTCCTAACATCCCGTCTTCCAAACCTCTAAGATCCCACCACACATTAAAAACTCGTAACTAATCAAAAAACTACAGTTTTAATTATTTCCCCTTGAGACTACACCAAGCATGTCAAACTCAAAGGCTAACACGGGCCAAATAAGCGAGGCATGCAGCCCGCGGGCCACGAGTTTGACACGCCTGGACTACACAGTCTGAATCAGGAAATCATTTATATGTATGGCCCAACATAATTTCAAAAACTCATCCTAAATCTAACTCACAAATTCCGTCACCCTGTGTAAGCACTGGAAGACGACCACCACTCGTGGAATTGGGGTATTGCCAGCCCGGTAAGAATCGATCAATTTTTTGCCACACAAGAGGCTGAACCTGCACTGTTTAAAACATAAGTAAGTTCACGGCTGAGATCTGTCACTTACTTCTGTAACGTTGTGGCAGGAAGTACAATAGTATTTGCCTTCATCAGTCAGACCCCAAGACACCGCATCGCACTGAGCACAGCGCTCTCTGAACTCTTTCTGCAGGAAAAGAGGAAAGCCACTTTCAGCACACGGGGCCCACACCCTGCAGGTCTCCCCCATAAATACAAAGTCATCAAAGTAGAAAATACGTAAGAGAGGCTCTCTATAAGCAGGGAGAACAGCAGCTCAGGTTCCTGAGCAGTTCGGATGGAATTAAACTAAAGACAAGTTTCTAAAACATGCAATGGGTGAGGAGGGGAATGAAGAAAAGGTAGGAGGGGTGAAATAGGAAAAAGATGAGTGAATACTAGTAAAACTCCTTGAAAATGCTGTGATAAAAAAAAAAAGATAACAAGAGTTAAGTATAGAGAAGGCTTAACAAATAGAAATAGCAGACCTTTTTTTTTTTTTTTTTACAGAAAGGAAGGGAGAGGGATAGAGAGTTAGAAACATCAATGAGAGAGAAACATCGACCAGCTGCCTCCTGCACACCCCCTACTGGGGATGTGCCTGCAACCAAGGTACATGCCCTTGACCGGAATCAAACCTGGGACCCTTGAGTCCGCAGGCTGACGCTCTATCCACTGAGCCAAACCGGGGCAGCAGACCATTTTTTAAACAGATTTTTAAAATTGATTTTAGAGAGGAAGGGAGACGGAGAGAGAGACAGACACATCAATGATCATCGAGCAGCAACCCGGGCATGTGTCCTGACCAGGAGCCCAACCCCAACCTCCTGGTTCCCAGGTCAGTGCTCAGCCACTGGGCCACACCGGCCCGGCAAGGATCAGATTTTTATTATAGTTGTTTCGGGTTTCGATTTATTCACTTGGCAGCACAAGGAGCATCAATGACCTATGTACTAGGCATGTCAGTGGGTGCTGAGGGTCCAACGGGGAGCCAAGCAGGCCTGGTCCCTACTCACAGCATATTCAGGCCAAGGGTGTCGGAGTGACCAGGGTCCTTCCCAGGCGTTACCCACCCATCACTCAGCAAACATCTGCTGGGCGTCCCCCATGGGAAGGCCTTCTGCTCCCAGCGCTTCTCTATGTACCTACCAGTGGTTCTCAACCTTCTGGACCTTTAAATACAGTTCCTCATGTGGTGACCCAATCATAAAATTATTTTCGTTGCTACTTCATAACTGTCATGTTGCTACTGTTATGAATCGTCATGTAAATATCTGATATGCAGGATGGTCTTAGGCGACCCCTGTGAAAGGGTCGTTCGACCGCCAAAGGGGTCGCGACCCACAGGTTGAGAACCGCTGATAGACTGTCACTGGGCGACTGGTCCCCGATCCTGGTGTTTGACAGGATCACTGACCTCATCACAGGTAGCTTTAATACCATGAGGCTCCGGCCTGTGGCCAGCATGTCAAAAACGAACGCCCCGTTTATTCCGGCAATGAGTTGGGGAAGTTTTCTTTAACCCCGTATCGATGACGATCGTTCATTCCCTGGAGGGTCCCCCAACCCGAATTTGGAACCCCTGCACGAGATGGTGGCGAGGACCCCCAGGGGTCACCTGGGGGCGTTCTGGTTCCCAGCCCGCTCCGCCCCCTCCCGCCCCAACATCAAAGGGGACTTGCGGGCGGTCCAGAGAGGATGCGCCCCGTGGATGGACACCCCACCAATCCCACCGCTCCTCCTTCCCCTGAAGCACACCCACCCCTACAGGCCGTCACGCACCCTCTCGGCGCCCACACCCTCCTCCGGCCGGAAACCCCAGCCTCTTTCCCCAAAACACGCGCGCGCCGGCCGGCCGGCCCCGTCCCAGGCCCCGCGCGCAGCCCTGCGCCCCGCCCCCCGCCCCCCGCCCCCCGCGGTCAGAGGCCGCCCCGCAGCCAGACGGCGTCCCCCCGACCCTTCTCCTCAGCTCCGTCCCCTCTCGCCCGGCTGTGTGGACCCGCCCGGCCCACCACCCGCTCACCGCCTCCTCTCGGTCCATAGCGACGCAGCGGCTGCCGACGCCGTCGGGGCCCGTTACCTGGGCAGCGAGCGCAACTTCCGGAAGGAAGCGGCGGGAGCCGCGTTCCGGGCGGAAACCGAGACCCTGGCTTTGAGTTCCGGGCGCCTGCGGCCGCGGTGAAACCTCCCTTTGCTCCCTCCCGGGGCGAAGCCGCAAAGCCTGTGTCCGCCTCCCAGACAGCATCCCTTTCCAAGCCCAGGAAACGAAACACACCCCAGTAAGAAGCTGGGCGGTGCCGCATGCCGAGCGGGTGCGATCGCGCCCGGCCGGCCTGGCGGTAATTCGGAGACCCGCGCACTATTGGGGCTGCAGGGAGCTCTGCACGCCACGCTGGCTTCGAATAGCACGGGGAGGCGTGGGCTCCGCAGGGAAGAATGCAGGTTGCTGGGTGAGATCTGGGTTTCTAACCACGGCTTTCCAGCTTCCTGTGCCTCAGTTTCCTTCTCTGTAAAAGCTAGCTATCACCTGTGAGCTTCACACCTACGTAAGTGCTCACGAATTTAGCTTTTATTGTTCCTTCCTGCTTATCCATGAAGCAGGCGCTGTTTAGGTCCTGAGGATCCAGCAGTCCACAAAAGTCCCTTCTTGCTTACTCTTCAAGGAGGTTACACTCTGGTAGGGAGACCCAAAAGATGTAAGGAAATGTGTGGTATAAGTGGTGGTGAGCGCCCAGGAGAAAAGCAGGAGCGGAGAGCGGAGAGCGGAGAGCGGGAGCTACGGGCGGTGTCCATTTCTAATGGGGTGGTCAAGAAAGGTCTCGCCAAGAAGACGACCTTTGAGGCCAGGAAGGCAGAGCCCTGTTGGGAACATCATTCCAGGCAGAGGGAACAGGAAGTGCGAAGGCCCCGAGTCCTGCGCCTCATGCATGTCGTTTTAAGGATCTGCAAGGAGGTGGGTGAGTGGCTGGAACTGGGAGTTGTCTCTCTGTCCAGATGGCATTAAAGAGAGGAAGTGAGATCACCAAGGAGTAGCTCTTTACTCCCTCCCTCCCTATTGACTCGTCAATCCCTTCATTTCACAAAGTCATTACACACCCACTGTGTGCCAGGCAGTCGCCAGCCATTGGGAAGTGAGGGGTAAACAGGACAGCGTTCCAGCCTTCGAGAGGCACCAGTCCCGCGCGCAGAGCAGCCCGTCTCCCTATTTTATCACGGCTCTGCTAGTAGATAAGGCCCCTCACCACTTGCATCAGCCCTGCCGTTCTCCAGGCTCGGCTTTGCCGCTGCAGACTCCTTCCAAAAGCCCTTTCCCATCTTCAAAGCGTCAAGGATTGTCATGAACAGCTGATCACAAGCCCTCTGTTTTCTAGACCAGCTCCAACTTTAAATGTTGCGATCTGAAAAGGGGCAGTACTGAGTGTCCGACTCAAACAGCTCCATGACCTCAGGATTTGTGTCTTCTGGTTTATTGCTATACACCCAGGCATGTGCCCTGACTGGCAATCGAATATTGACCTCCTGGTTCATAGGTCAACACTCAACCATTGAGCTACACCAGCCGGGCTCCATAGAGAGAGAGTGGAAGGGAGGGGGAGAGACAGAGTGTGAAACCCATCAATTGGTCTCTTGGGGATAGGGGTCTGTGACTGAGGTACGTGCCCTTCACTGGAATTGAACCCAGGACCCTTCAGTCCAAAGGCCGACACTCTATCCACTGAGACAAACAGCCTAGGGTAGTGATGGTGAACCTATGACACGCGTGTCAGAGGTGACACGCGAACTCATTTTTTTGGTTGATTTTTCTTCGTTAAATGGCATTTAAATATATAAAATAAATATTAAAAATATAAATCTTTGTTTTACTATGGTTGCAAATATCAAAACATTTCTATATGTGACACGGCACCAGAGTTAAGTTAGGGTTTTTCCAAATGCTGGCACGCCGAGCTCAGAAGGTTCGCCGTCACTGGCCCAGGGCCATACGTGTGACATGTTTTAAATGGAGAGGCTGGGTGAGCTTTTGAGTAGGTGAGTTCGATGTTCAGGGGGAAGGTCGTCTTCTGCTTGTTCCTGCTGAAGTGGGGAGCAAGTCACAGTTGCGAGCGGACGTGGGGTTACAAGGTCTGAGAGAGCAGGCGTGCAATAGCTCTTGGCAATGGGAGAGTCAAATCAGAAATCTGGTAGGTTGTCAGGCAGCACCGGGGGCCCTGGGCGTCTGTGACCGTAAATATAAAGATAAGGCGGCCGCACACCCGGTCATCCAGCAGCTTGCTTGGTGAGAACATCCCCTTTGCCCTGAAGGGACAAATGAAGCGTGTTCACCACTTGGAAAGTATCCGCCGGGCGGTGGGCTAGGCGGCCCCTGTCATCACAGGAATACGGCCGCCATTGTCATCAGAGGAATACATGCCTTTATGTTTAAGAAGAAGACAAAGATGACTCATCGCTAAGTCTGACAGGCCTTTTAAGAATCTTGCTGTGAGATAGCCAACAACCTTCTACGTGAGCGGAGAACTCGCACGGATGCTCAGCTCCCTCAGGTCACGGGACAGCCCCACGGCGGGAGTCTCTGTGTGCAAACCAACCGCATCCACGGCGCCTGGCTTCCCGCCGGGGAGTGTGGCCGAGGCACCGTCACCGTCAGCATCGGAGCGCAGCGTCCTCTCATTGTTTCAGGCAAAGCAGCCATCCTTCAGTGGGTACGTGGACACAGTGTTGCCACAGAATATTGCTTTGTGGGTTTTTTTCTGTTTTTTTATTATTTTTAAAATATATTTTTATAGATTTCAGAGAGGAAGAGAGAGGGAGAGAGAGATAGAAACATCAATGATGAGAGAGAATCACCGACCGGCTGCCTCCCGAATGCCCCCTACTGGGGATCAAGCCCACAACCCAGTCATGTGCCCTGACTGGGAATTGAACCCTGACCTCCTGGTTCATGAGTCGACACTCAACCATTGAGCCACGCCGGTTGGGCCACAAAATATTGTTTTTATGAAAGAAATGATTCAGCGTCCAGAGCAGCTGTCCCTGGGCACTTCCCATGAGTGGCTCCTCCGCTTGCCACACTCCATCGCCGAGACCAAATCCAGGACCACCGCCCCCCGCCCCCTGCCCCAGGCAGGGCCCTGTTAGAAGTACCTGTGATTGATCCAACTGAGCAGCGGACCTTCCCGTCACAGACCTCCTCCATTTGTTGCAATACTCGCAGCTTCTACATTTTCAGCATTTTCAGCTCCTTCCAAAGTGTTTGTAACAGTATTTGTTGCCTGTGATCTCAGCCCTATTTATCATGGCGCAGCGGTAGAAAATGGAGACATATAACACACAGTGATGAGCGCTTTGCTGCTGGACAGGTGCACGGGGCGAGGGGTGTTTGTAGGCCATCAGGAGCGGCCGGGAGGGCAGTGGGGGAGAGGGAGGGTCATGGGCCTGGGGGGCGGGGCGCTGGGCAAGGCCCTGCCTGCTGAGGCCTCCTGGCCCCCAGGCTGATGCTTGGCCAGGACACCCCTGTGGCCCGGATCTGTACCCCTCATCAGACCCACCTCCTGGCCACCATCCCGGGGCCCCTCCAGGAAGGGAGAAGGGACGCTGCGTGGGTCAGCCATGGCCAGCCAGCCTGGCTGCCTGTACTGCCACCTACCCCAGCCTGCCTGTGGAGGTGACGGTGTCACAGGATTTGGGCTCAGAGAGCTGGGGAGAGCCTGGGGGAGCAGCCGAGCGAGCGGGGGACACACAGGCCCTAGCCCGCATTCGGGCCTCGTGAGAGCACGTGGGCAGGAGGGAGACTGGCGGGGGAAGGGCCTGAAGACCCCGGATGCAGCTCCCTCTTTTCACCCTTCTTACTGGCCTTTGCTTCCATTCAGGACAGACTCTTGTTTGTTTTTATTCATTTGTTTTTTAAATGTATTTTTATCGATTTCAGAGAGGAAGGGAGCGGGAGAGAGAGAAACATCAATGATGAGAGAGAATCATGGACCAGCTGCCTCCTGCACACCCCCTACAGGGGATGGAGCTCGCAATCCGGCATGTGCCTTGACTGGAATCGAACTGGGGACCCTTCAGTCCACAGGCTGATGCTCTAGCCACTGAGCCAAACTAGCAAGGGTATATTTTAAAATAAAAAATTTTGAAAAATGATTGGGACCCGTGAAGCCTGACTGCCTGTTAGAAACACAGGAGGAGATACTGGCTAGGACGTGGGACAGAGGAGTCTGGAATCCAGAGAAGATGCCGGGCTGGCGTCTGGGGACGGGGCCCGTGCGGGCGTCTCACGGAGGAAGACGCGGCGGGTGCTGGTGAGAGCTGGTGAGCTGAGCAGGGGCCTCAGCAGGATGCAGGCGTGGCAGGACGCTTGGGGGAAGCGGGCAGGACGGCGCTTCCCTGAGGGCCCAGGAGCGCAGAGGAGGAGGAGCGGGAGCACAGGCAATGCCTGCGGGGGTTTCGCCGAAAGGAGGCGCGGAGAACGGGCAGCAGGGAAAGGAGAGCCGGAGGCTAGAGATGGGACGATGGTGGCGCATCTGCACGCCGGCGGCAAGGAGATATGGGTGGCTGAGCGGGGAGAGCTGTTGCCGGAGAAAGTCCTTGAGTGGGTCATTCCTCGGTGACAGGCCCTGGGAATTCCGGGAATGTGGCCCCGGTCCTCCAGGCCGGGCCCTGCCCGCCGGTGTGGCCACAGTGGAGCCGGTCCCACTGCCCCTCCAGGCGCCCGGATGCCACCCACATCCCAGGGCTGGGCCAGGACAGCTCAGCCGAAGGTTTCGTGGAAGAGGTGCTACCGTGTGTGGGGAAGCTGAGTATTTCCAGGGGCAGCAGAGCAGAGACTGCACTCAGGGGAGCAGGTTTAAATCCTGGCCTGAGCCCGAGCCGGTGTGGCTCAGTGGATGGAGCGTCGGCCTGCGGACCGAAGGGTCCCGGGTTCGATTCCAATCAAGGGCACATGCCCTGGCTGCGGGCTCCATCCCCAGTAGGGGGCGTGCAGGAGGCAACCGGTCCATGATTCTCTCCCGTCACTGATGTGTCTATCTCTCTCTCCCTCTCCCTTCCTCTCTGACATCAATAAAAATATATAAAAATTAATTCATGAAACGTAAATAAACTAATTAAAAATAAATGAATAAGTCCTGGCCTGAAACTCACCTGCTGGTTTGGTGACCTGGACCAGCCCCTTCCGTGAGCCTCAGTTTGCTCGTCCGTCCGCAGCCCGGAGATGAACACGGGACCACAACACCCTCTGAGGCTGCGAGGCACCGGTGGGGTAACGGGTGTGAAAGGCTTCGCACACTGAGACGTGAGACACAACGGGTCACGTGGCCGAATTTACTACATCCGCCCCCCACTCACCCACAAAACAGGCCCAGCTTGAGGAGGCGGCCTGTCTAGGGCGCACGCCTGGCCACGCCCCCTGCGGCTTTAATTCCGTAACTAGACTCCTAAGTCTCTTTATTTATTTATTTTTCTTTATTGATTAAGGTATGACATATGTGTCCTTATGCCCCATTGCCCCCACACCCCCACTCATGCCCTCCCCCCCTGTTGTCTGTGTGAGACTCCTAAGTCTCTTTAGATGATGAGGCAAGTCCCGACTGCCTGGCCAGAGCCTCCAAACACCCTCGCAGACACGCGTGTGTCACGGCAAGTCACCAGCCGAACGGGAAGAGAGACATGTTCTAGTCTTCAAAGCTCCCTGGGAACCTAGTCGCTGCTCATCACAAGCTCAGGATCTTCCAGGAAGCAAACAGCATCCCTGGCACCTCCCAGGCCCACGAGACGCCATGGGGCTCCCGAGGATGTCTGCTGGCGGTGAGAGAGAATCAGGCGTGTCCCGGCGATGGGCCCTGGGAGCGCTCCGAGGCCTGCCCGTGGCCCGCACTGCCCGTGACTGGAGCCCAAGAGCCCTGTGGTTCTCAGTGTCCTGGAGCCCAGGGTGGAGGAGGGAGGACTGGCCGGGCACACAGCCTGGCGGGCGCTGTACCGGGCCCATCCCCCGGCCATCTCGCCATTGAGCTGGGAGGTCATCTTTCTCTTCTCCTCCCACAGGAAGGGAAACTGAGGCTCAGGAGGTGCACGCAGGTGATGTGGTCCGGCGAGAGGAGAGGGGCCTGCCGTCCAAAGGGCCTGCTCTCTGTGCGCAGGAAGGCCGTGCCTCATGAGGGTTCTCTGGTGAACAAGTGGTGAAGGAATCAGGCCCTCTGGTCGCCAAATTGCCTGTCAAAGGCAGCCAGCAGCCAGAGGGGCCGCCCCACAAACAGCCTCCTAGGATGCGAGGGCGGTGCTGTGTTTGGCGGAAGGAACTCAGGAGTTTCTCAAACACCCCCCCCCACACACCCAGTGATACCAGTGATAAGATCTCAGGCGAGTTGCGGAGCCTGTTGGGGGCCGGTGCCTCCATTTGCAGTCTTGGGGCAAACCAGGAAACCAGGCCTGGCTCCTGCTTCCCTCCCAGGCAGAGAGTCACAGGCATCGGCGTCCCTGCGACCGTCCTGGGCCAGGCCTGGCTACATAATTTGTGTTCTATTTTTATAATCTTTGCCCAGCCTGGCCAGCCTGGCTTAGTGGTTAAGCATCGATCTATGAACCCGGAGGTCACGGTTCAATGGTCGGGGCACAGGCCCGGGTTGAGGGCTCGATCCCCAGTGGGGGGCGTGCAGGAGGCAGCCCAGCAGTGATTCTCTCTCATCATTGACGTTTCTCTCTCTCTCCCTCTCCCATCCTCTCTGAAATCAATAAAAATATACTTTAGAAAAAATAAAATGCAATCTTTGCCTAACCCAAGATCACTAAGCTTTTCTCTTGTTTTGTTTTGTTTTGAAGAAGGTTTGTGGTTTGGGCCCAGCGGCGATTCCAGCACCTTTTGCTGGAAAGCTTGTCCTTCCTCCCACTGAATTGTCTTGGCACGTTGGCTAGGACATCAACTGACCACGTGCGTGTGCAGGTCTGTCTGCGGAGTCTCTGTTGTCCCACTGGTCCGCGTGGCAGCCTCTCCTCGGGTCCCACCCACTCTCCGTGGCTGTTTGCTCCAGGCAGGTCCTGAACTCACAGGCAAGTCCTCCAACGTTTCCACTCTCGTGTCTATTCTGTATGGTTTGCAACACGCATGAATCTCAACACTTGTTTACTAAGGTTTCTCCAAATAATTCTGCCGATGTTTTGAACGTCACTGCGTTTAATCTGTAGATCAACTGGGGGGAGAATTGGCCTCTTAACAACATCGAATCTTCAAGCCCTGAGTGCGGCACAGCTCACCGTTTACTAGGTATACTCTCATTTCTCTCAGTGATTTTTTATAGTTTTCAGAGTGTAGTTATTGCACCTACTTGTTGAAGTAATCCCTATTTCATAATTCTGCATGTGCGTGTGTATCAGAGAGAGAGAGAGAGAGAGAGAGAGAGAGAGAGAGAGTTTGCTTTATGTTCTCCAAAGTTGAGCAAAAGAAAATTGGTTAATTAAGGACTGTGGTTTGCTGAATTCCAGTTAAGTAAGATTTGACTGTACTTAGCATCCACACTAATGGCTCTGGTTATGTCATTCCCACGTTCAAAAGCCTTCACTGGGAAGTAATTATGGGATGTGCTCGAAGAACGTCGCATCAGTTCACCAAGGGCAGGACGGGCACAGCCGAGCCGCTGGCTGGAGAGAGGGTGCTGTGTTCTTCCCGCACAACAGCGGCTTTCAGATGCAGCCGGGACGCCCTATAGGGTCAGGCAGGCGCCAGGGCCCCCATGCGTGTTCTGATCACAGGACTCTAGTTTGATCCCTTTTGGTTTTGGAGGTTCCTGGTAGGATTTTGTTTAAAGACAGTTCCAGGGCTTAAAAGCCATTATTGCAAAATAATTTGTAATGGCCAAGGAAGAAAGATGTTAATGGGATTAAAATCAGATTAGAAAATAATCTACCTAGTACATCTTATGTCCCTGACTGGGGGGGGCGGGGGCGTAGAAGAAACATTTGTACAAAAAAAATGGGAGGTTATATGTACATGTATCAAAACATTAATAGACATGATATCTGGGCGGCTGTGAGCAGAGCCCAGGGCTGCGGGGCCCTGTGGGCACTTCAGGAGGTGACTGGGGGCATCGCCCACTCCCGACAGGCAGGGGCCGCAGGCACAGGCTGCAGGGCCCCAGGAGCTGTTCACAGGCCAGGCAGGAGGCCAGGGCTGGGCTGGGGGGTGGGCTTCCCCTGTCGGGCTCAGGAGGAGTTTCGGGGGAGCAGCCTGGTTTGGGGACAGGCTGCGGGAGCCCCTTCCTCAAGCCCCGGATCTCCCTCTGAGCCAGGCCACAGCCCTGTCCCCACAGCCCTGTCCCCATCGGCTCCACCAGCGTTTGCTGAGTGACTGGGTGACCTGGGAACTGGGTCAGGGCCCCACCTGCAGAGGAGCTCGGGCGCTGGGTGCTGCTGCCCCCTGGTGGCTGTGGCCGGGAGGGCCTCCCAGAGCCTGGTGTTTTGGGAATGACCCAGCCTCCAGAATGTGAGGCTGGGCGCCTGGTACCCTGGACTCAGAGGCCTGGGCAATAGGCGCCCAAATAAATTGAATTTCAGAGAAACAACAATGGCCTTCCAGCGTGCACGTGTCTCATGCGGTATTTCACGTGCTGACTTGCTGGGTCTGGCAGCCCCACATGTCAGCCCTGGGGCTGAGCCTGCACAGCCCGGGGCCGGTCAGACACTGGAGGGACAGCTCCCAGGCACCCCCAGGGCAAGGGCACATGAGGGTCATGCCAATGGCTGACCTCAGTCCAGCTCAGGCCTCCTGAGCTCGGCCGGCTCAGAGGCCCTGAGACCCTGCTCAGCCCTCACCACGGAGACCACAGCCCGAGGAAGGTCACCTGGACTCAGGCTCCACCTCGGTGACCCCTGTGGCCAGAGGCACAGGCTGTCCCCTCACGACCTGCATCACTCTGTCCCTGAAACTCCCCCGGAACCTTAAAGGGAACCAGAGAGGAGGTGCCATCCAGGGGGGGCAGCTGTACAGCCAGCCAGCTAGTGGGGGGCTTCAGGAGGTCGCCCCGCACCACCTGCCCCTCGCAGGCCTGCAGCCACGAGCAAACAGCACTCCACCTGGCCTTCCGTCCTGCAGGCCTGGAGGTTGGGCCCCCAGGAACCCACCCACCCACCCCGCCTTCTCCCTGGTGCTGGGCCAGCGCTCCAGCTGCTGTGCTTGCCTGCCCTCTGGTGGCAAGACCTGGAAATGCTTTGCCATTGCTTGACAAGCTCCCCGCCCCACAGCACTGCTAATGGAAACTGGGCACCTATATGCATCAGGGGCTGAACTGGGATCAAAAGAGAAGGGCGTGTGTCTAACTACTCAAAAGTTATAAATCGAGCTCACGAACCAGATTTCACAAGGACTGCAGCTTCCACCTCCATCTCTCGGGCCTCTAACCTGACTTCACAGGTGAGGAGAACGAGGCTGAGAGGGGACTTGCCAGGTAAAAGGGAGACCAGGGCTCTGATTTCCGGGCTCTGAAGGGGGAAAGGCAGCATCCGGGGCAGAAGACTTGGTCGGACTGTCCGAGATCGAGTCCGGCTCTGCCACTCCCCGCAGGGCAGCCTTGGGCTGGTGGGTGAACCTCTCTGTGTGCGCGCCTCCGCTTCTGTAATATGATGGTAATGGCGCCCACCTCACAGAGCTGCCGCTGGGCTAGCTGAGAGCAGCACCTGGCGCCAGGAAGCCCGATGCGTGTTAGCTGTTACTCACTGCCTTCCACGGGCTCCCCCAGGTGCCGGGGACGGGGCCTTCCCTGGGAGATGCCCTGGGCTCCTGATAAAGTGCTGCAGGTTGTTTTTATTTAAATACTAGAGGCCTGGTGCACGAAATTTGTGCACTCGGGGTTGGGGGAGGGCCCCTCAGTCCGGCCTGTGCCCTCTCACAGTCCGGGAGCCCTCAGGGGATGTCTGACTGATGGCTTAGGCCTGCTCCCCAGTTGGACATCCTTAGCACTGCCACGAAGGCGGGAGAGGCTCCCACCACCGCTGCTGCATTTGCCAGCCATGAACCCGGCTTCTGGCTGAGTGGCACTCTCCCTGTGGGAGCGCACTGACCACCAGGGGGCAGCTCCTGCATTGAGCGTCTGCCCCCTGGTGGTCAGTGCACGTCATAGCGACCGGCCGTTCTGCTGTATGGTCGATTTGCATATTAGCCTCTTATTGTATAGGATTGTTTAAATGTTTTTATTGCTTTCAGAGAGAGGACGAGGGAGGGAGAGAGACAAATAGAAACATCAGTGAGGAGAGCATCATCGATCGGCTGCATCCTGGCGATTCAGGGTTTTTTTGTTTGCAGATTATTTTTAACAGGAGGCTCACGCCCTCCAGTGGGGTCTGGGCCAGCCTCGGCTGTGCTGGTCTGTGAC